TTTAATGGGAAGGTCAAGGGAGCACTTATGTGACCCAGGACATTGGAAGGCTTCTCTGAGGAGACATCACTGGAGCTGAGCCCTAATGGAGAAGCAGCTGGCTATGGGGAAGGGCTGGGAGAAGGGTGTCCCAGGCATGGAGAACAGCCTGTGCAAAGGTCTTGGGGTGGGAATAAGCTGTGTGTATGCAACAAGATCATGGACAAAAAGTGCCCAGTTTCTGGTGCTTAGCAAGCATCCACTTCCTACTGTTGTTAAACTGAGGGATCTCAAAAGGGCAGAGAAGACTCCACCCTCTGTACCACCTGGAGAGAGAGTGAGACCTTAAGTTGCCATGGAAATGCTTTCCTCCACCACAAGAGAAACCAGGGTCCTAGAGAGAGGAAGTACCAGGAAACCACAAAGTGGGACCTGGTGCCTCTACTCCCTGCTGTGTGTCCTGGGGCAAGTTGTTTCCCTGCTCTGAGGCTCTGTTTTATCTGCAGAACTTTCTTTGCAGTTGATTCCCCACCTCCATTCGTCCCATCCTCCCAGGCCTGATGTTCCCACAAAATGCCTCCAGTTTCCCAGAGTGAGTGTCCTAGACCCAGGCAGGGCAGTGGGGGCACTTCAGTGAGTGCGGTGCTGCCTCTGGGTCACCCACATGACTCCGTGCCTCTTCAGGCTTCAATTTCCCCATCTGTAATGTGGGAGAAGAAATGCTGCCTCTCTCATGAGGTGCTGGGTGCATAGGTTCTTAATGATTGGTTTGACTCAAGTTCAAGTGCAAGGCAAAGGAGCAGGGACTTGACTTGTGGGCAATGGGAGCCATGGAAAGTGCTGGAAGCTGGGCAGTGTATTGGCTTGGGCTGAGCTTTGTAGAGGATGGACAAGGAGTGGAGGACCTGTATTGTATGTTCAGCTAGACTGAGGTTCAGTGGGCTCCCACTCAAGGCCACACATCAACACAGGGCACAGCCAGGGTTCAAACCCAGGCCCAGATCCTCCATCCCGGACTTCTGCCACCAGGTGACCAGTCTTGAGGTATAATCCCCATTTCAGAAACCTGAGACTCCAAGTGGTTGCCAGCTGTCTCAGGAGCCTATCATGTGTGAATGACCCTCCTCCTGTGCCATTTAGCCCCTCCCCCAGCACCCCTGGGCTGGGGGGTCTGCTCCCACCCATTCTAGGCTGGAACCCCCACCCAGAGCTCTAGCCTACCTGGTGTTCACCAGCTGCTGTGGCTTCTCCCCTCCCAGCGTTGTTTGGGTTGCAATTTTTGTGTTGCAGTTAGAAAATTACCCATAATTACAGCTCTGAGAGGAAACGTCTGGTGGTGCAGACCCTGCTCCCAGCTGTGGCCTTCTCCAATGCACAGCTGAGGAAGCTGCAGCGGCCCCCTGCTTGGATCCTGGCCCCTTCCAAAGTCCTCCGCTTTAATGAGGAGGGGGGCTGCTTCCACCTCTTGTGAAGAGGAAAAACCATCATCAGGAAAACCCAAACCAGCCTTCCTAATGACTCTTGCAATATATTCATGGCCCCACTGCTGGGTTCACAAAAAAGGGCCCATCCTGGGGAAGGTCGAGCTATCAACTGACTACTTGATGCATTATTTTAACAGTGACACATCAGACCCAGGCTAGAGCAGAACCGGTTATCTGGGTGATGTGGCCAGGAAAGGCGAGGAGGAAGGGGAAGGGGGCGGAGAAGGAGGAACTGTTGAGGCCAAAGACCGAAAGAGGAGCCAGAATAGGCCAGGCCTGCAGCTAGAGAAAGAGCCCTCTAGGAGGCAGGAGCGGAGAGTCCAAAGACCAGGAATTGGGCCCATGGAGGGTGGGTCTGAGAAACGAAGGGCTGGAAGGAAGGGAGTTAGGGGAGGTACGGTCCCTCCTCCGGGCAGGGCCCGAGCGCCTCAAGCAGGCACCGCCCCTGACCCCGCGGGATCAGTCTTAAAGGAGGGGGCGTCGTCGGTGGTCCCACGCGACAGAGCCCCAGCTCAGAGCTGCAGTCCCTGCACAGCCACACGAGGGCGGCCGGGAGCTGGTGAAGGGGTCGCAGGTCTGAGATCTAGCCTTGACGCTACCCTCCTCGCTTATGAACCCCCCTCTCAGGCCCCTGACCTGGTCCATGGCCCCTGTCTATCAGGGCAACCCCCCTGCCTCCTCCAAGTCTTCCCGATCTACCCAGAAGCCCCATAGAGCTTCTTAAAACCCTGACGCAGATCCCGCCCCATGGGGCTCCATAGCCCCCCCTCCTTATTGCTTTTAGAACAAATCCCAAACCTTCGCCTCCGAGAGTGTTTCCTCTGCCCTCTTAGCCATCATTCCCCCCATTCCCCCTCACCCCGCTCCCCTCAGCTACACTGCCCTCCTCGCTCTGCGTCCAAGACCTGAACCGTGTGCCCACCTCAGGGCCTTTGAACTTGCTGTGACTGCAGTCTGTACATTCTGCTTCCAGATATTTCGGATTAACTCCTACCTTTATTTTTTTTAAAGTTCCTTTCCCCTATGCCCCTCACTCTCATGGGTCGGCGGCCTCTTTCTGTGGGTTCTGCTCTTGCAATGCGTGTGCTCTGATTGGATATGTTGAGGGCTCAGCTTCCCAGACGCCGCGTGGGGCCCAACTCCCGCTGTTCTAGGACTTTTCCGCCGGCGCCGGGGCTGTGTTTGGAGATCCGTCCCGGTTGCTATGAGAACCGTCCGCCGCACCACCCCCCCTTGCAGCTCACGCGGCCGCGAGAGCTTCTGCCTCTCTCCCTCCTTCGCCTCCGCCCTCCTCCCTCCTCCGGGAACCTGGCCGACCCTGCCGTCGCCTGTCCGCTCCATCCGGGACCCCTCCTTCTGCCCAGCATGTGGCACTCTAAATTATCCTACTAACTGAACAGCTTTTGACGGTATTCCTTCTCTGTCATACCCTCTGCTCCACAAGCAGTAGCAACGTGCGCTGGCATACAGCAGGCTCTGAATAAATGTTTGTGGAGAGGAAGACTCGCATCGACTCAAGGAACCGAGGCTCAGAAAGAGGGAGGGACCTGCCTCAGGCACACAGAGTCCTGGGCAGCTACGGAGCATTGGGAGATAAGGGAGAAGGGGGCGTCTGCGGGACCTTGGAGTCCCAGCTGTTAATACACTGTGTGACTTGGGTGAGTGACACCCTCTCTGTGCCTCTTTGGGAATAGGCGCTGGAGATTAGTAGTGGGAGCGGACATTAGGATAAGAGTGTCCTTGACGCCCACGTTCCTCGGTGGCCCCCTGAGCGCTGGACAGCCCCAACTCTGGAGCTGACGGAAGAGTGCCGACCGCTCCTCCAAAGCACGCAGCGCGGGCCCCTCCTCCGAGCCGGCGGGGCCCTGGAGGCCGCTGGAGAGGAAGCTGGGGGAGGGGACGGCCGGCTGGACAGGAAGTGGGTAGGGCTGGCGTCCCCCTCCTCTCCACCCCTGTTGGGGCCCCTCAGGGTGGAGGCGGGGCTGGGGCTGGCCAGGCCCTTCCCTTCCTCTTGGCGCGTCTGGAACCCCAGCGGTTCCCGACTTCCCTCCTGCCTGCAGGCCTGAGTGTGTGTGTGTGGGGGTGGGGGGGCGGGGTCCGTACTGGGGGGGCGGCCTCTAAGAAAGAGGCATAATGGAGGGTCCGCCGGAAGCGGGAGGCGGTGTCTCTGTCAAGACACATACCACACAGGAAACCTGAATGCACAACCACACAACATAGGTCCCGATCCACCCACGCGCGGTGGTACACGCGCACACACACGTGTGCACACAACCTGACGCTGTGTCACTTGGCCCCACACAACCGCTGCGGACACACAACACTGCGGTAGAGCCAGGGACGGTTGCCCAGACAGCGACCTTTCACTGGGTGCCTGCCAATCCCCCAGGCACAACGACGCACACATGCCCTCACACACACCCGCGGTTGCATACAATAAAAAAAGAATATCCATGGCAGCCATTCCAGACCTGGATTCACAACTAGAACACCTTCCCCCGCCCCGGCCCACACATGTCTGCTCACACAGCCTACAAGTACCCTGGCAAACAGGACCCCACCAGGCACCCCTGCCCTCTAGTGTCCTTGTCTCAGTGTCCGCCTTCACCTCCTCTGCACGCTCACTTGGGGAAGAAGGGACCCAAGAGGAGGAATGGGACAGTCGCTCTCTGCACCCCTTATTCCTGAAGAGGGGCAATTAGAGGTCGGATGTGCCCCAATTTACAGCTGGCAACGCTGAGCTTGAAAGACGGAGCCAGCCAGAGTGACCCAGTACGTCAACAGTCACCCAGCACCTACTATTGACAGAGGGTATGTCTGCGAAACAGTGCAGGGTGGCTCCCAGAATTTGGCCTGGGTACCCCAGGAGCTTTTTTTTTTATGTTGCCTGGCTGTGTGCTGTGGGTAGCTGTGGGTATCCAAAGGCTCAATGAGACCCCACGATTGTGTGTGGAGCCCTCGGGAGGCTGCAGTGGAGTGCCCCAAGTGACTCCGAGTAGCTGCGTGGGCTCTTTCCCCAGCTGCTGGAAGCTTTGTCATGGCTGTGCCTACATGTGTCTCTGTGTGGCTGTATGCCTATGTCAGCGGTGGGCTGTGTTTCACTGTTCTGTGACAGCTACTATAGGAGCTGTGTGTACTTGTGTGTGACGGCATGTCCCTAGGCCAGCTAGGTGTGGGGATGATACACCCAGTGTGACTTCTCGTAGCTTTATGGACTCAGTAGTTGTTCTAGTATTTGTGCGGACTCTAGTGTGTCCTGGTTTTGAGAGTGTAGTTACAACTGAGTGTGTGGCTGTGCAAGTTTGGTGGCTGGTCCTATCTGGGGAGTGTATGTATAGCTGAGATCAGCCGTATCCCGCTGTGCATCTCCTGGTGGCCTTCCCCACTCGTGCGTGCCTCGCATGAGTCCAGCAGCCCCCACCTCGGGCGGGCACTGCGCGTGCGCGCTCGGCCCACGGTCCCGATAGCGGGACCCACCCGTGCACTCGCCATCGCCCCTTTAAGAGCGGCGCCCGCGGGCGGCGGGGAGGTGGCGGGCGGGGGCGCGCGCGCGGCAGGAGGAGGGGGCGCGCGCTTCCCGGAACAGCCCGCGCAGAAGGAAGAGAGGAAGAAAATAAACCCGTGGCTAAAGCTAGAGCTGCTGCCGCCGCTGCCGCCGCTGCGGCCGTGTGGAGCTCCCCCGCGCGGATGATGCCCGCGGTGCCCGCGCGGGGCTCCGGGCGTTGAGGCCCGAGGCGTGGGGTAGCTATGGCTACGGCAAGCGCCGCCAGCGGCGCCGCCTGACAGGTGTGGGCCCTGGTGGCGGCGGCTTGGAGCAGCATGTACGCCAAGGGGGGCAAGGGCTCGGCCGTGCCCTCCGACAGCCAGGCCCGCGAGAAGTGAGTCGGGGGCCGGAGGCGGGACTCCGCGGCCGCGCGGCTTCCGTGGACCCCAACGATGGCGGGAATCGCGCGGGCACGTGGGCGCGGGTTGCCCAGAGTGCGGATCCCGAACGCGCTCGAGGGGCCACGAGATTTGCGAGGGCGTGCGAGACCCGAGTACCTCGAGGGGTCGCGAGATCTGTGGGAGCGCGCTAGACCCAAGGGGCATCAGGGGTCGCGAGATTTGAAGGGGCGCGCGAGACTCAGGGGACTTGAGGGACGCAAAGAGTCGTAGTTTGAAGGGAAGCGCGAGATCCGAGAGGGCGTGAGAGTTGAAGGGGTGCGGGAGCCCCGAGGGGCGCGAGATTTGAGGGGGCGCGAAACACTCGTGAGAGACTCAAGGGGTCGAGATTTGCGGGGATGCGTGAGATTCAAGGTGCGAGATTTGAGGGGGGCGCGTGAGATCCAAACAGGACTGGAGGGTCGCGAGACCTCCGGGACAGTGGTGACTTGGGTGAGTGAGGTTGCATGCGCGCGGGATAGCGATCCCGGCTGCTTCCCAGATCCTCCAGGAAGTTTCTGGGCCGGGTGAGACTGGCCTCTCTAGAACCCCGGCGCCTCAGGAAGAGCTTGAGAGGAGAGGAGGGCTTGAGGGGTGCCGGCCCTACCTACTCCTAGCCACCTGTCTGCTGGGCAACTGGATGGGGCCTGTCGGAACACCGTAGGGCTCAGTCCTGGGGCGGGGCCCCTGGACGGCAGAGGCCACAAGCACCCCCTCTTATTCTGGGTGTCGTGCTGGGCTGTGGTACTTGGGCTGCTCTTGGGCTGGTAGGCAGACAGGTACCTAACTCCCAGACCTGCGAATTGGAGCTGGAGGCTCTCAGAAATGGGAACTCAGTCTAGGGCAGGGAGGCTCATTCCGAAGGTGATACTGCCACTTACCTGCTTTGTGGCTTTGGATGAGGGAGCACCCCTCTCCTAGGCTCACTTTCCTTTTCCTGAGAAGTGCAAATTAATAAGTGTCATCCTTTAGGATTGGAGAGGATTTGAAAGGTCTGGAAGCTGTGACCTTCCAACAGCAAGGACACCCAGTGGCTTGCAGTATTGTTAAAGTGCCAGGGAAACGGGCCTGCATAGGAGGGAAAGCTTTTGATGGCTGATGGCCAATGGCCGATTCCCAAGATCCTAAGATGTCCAACTACCTAGAGTGGCCTTGGTGGGAAACAGGCTGGGTCATTCTGGAGGGTGTCCCCTAATGATGCTCCTTGAGGGCCAGGCCAGGAGTGAGGACTTATATGTCTGGGCAATGAAGAGGAGCTCTGGATGTGGGCTTACTGCACCTCTCTCCTGTCCCGCCTTGGCTGACAATCCCCCTCCCCTCATTTCTCTTTGACACGGACAGGTGTCCATTCTCTGCCTAGCTTTGGGGTCATTTTGGAGAAGAGATTCTTCTTGCCAGAAGATGTTAGGCAGCTAACTGCCTTTCCAGGCCTTCCTAGCCCATCTGTTATGAGGTTATGCTTCATTTCCAGGCACTAAGCACGAAGAGTTTTTGAAAACTGGTACCTGGCTGCTGCCCAGGTTGGAAGAAGGGTGTGTTTGGCTTGGCCGCACCACCCGGGGGATCCTAGCATGTCCCTGGCTATTCTCTTACACAGGTTTTTGGGTCTGGGGGCTACCACTTACCCAGCGGGAATACTTCACTCATTCAGCAGTTGTGTCCTGGTCTGCATCTAGGGTGGAATGTGATGGTTGGGAAGATAGGTCCAGGTCCTGAAGAATCCCACATCCTAGCAGGGAGGCAGGTCTCTTTACTTGGGCAAATGGATAGGAGGCCAAGCAGAGGGATGATCTCAAGATAGTCTATGAAGAAAACAAAGTGGGAAAATAAGTGATAGTGAAGTATGAAGGGTCAGTCAGGTGTGCAGAGACCTGGAGGAAGAGCAGGCAGCTGAGGGCACACCAAGTGCAAGGGCCCTGGGGTGAGGCCTGGCAAAGGAGCTGGGGTTGTTGCTGTGGGTAGGGGGAAGGGCAGCCCACGAGGACACCGTATGGGCCAGAGAGGCTTGTGTGTGTGAGTACACTCTAGCTCCTGTGGAGAATAGGTTTTACAGGGGGTTGGGAGTAGAGGCAAGGATGATCTGGGGGAGGTGAGCTCAATGATCTGGGTGAGAGCTGATGATGGCAGCTTAGATGTGGCCATGGAGATCAGAAAACAGAGAGAAACAGAAGTTCGAGCTGGTGGTGGGGTTGGGAGTTGGGTTTTGATCTTGTCAGACATCTCAGGACAGATTTTATTCTTTGAACCTGGCCTCATTCTTGGAGCTGGAGAGGGGATTATCCAAATCTTGGCCCCTTCCTTCATCATCTCCTCACTCCCTAGTCTGCCCAGTAGAGGGTCTTGGAGAATGGAGGAATCTGTAAAACCACTCCCACTCTCCCCCTAGGCTGGAGATACCATTGTGTCCCTGGTTCTACAGTCCCTTTTATGGCCAGGGCCATCCTATGCTCATCCATTTCTTGTAGAGGGTCATGGATAAGTTTTGGTTTGGAGATGGGGTTCTGCTGCTGAGGAATTTTGGAAAGCACCGGATGTTTGCATCCCCCATTTCACCAGTGAGGATGCTGGGGCCTGGAGAGGAAGTGACCTGCCAGTTTCACCAGTTCTGAACACAGAGAACACTAGAGGGACTGGCTGGCTGCTCTGATCATGTTTCCCCACATGAAATGTAGCCTGCCAGCCTTGCAGGATTCTCACAAGGACTGGGTGAGATACTGCAGGCAGGGTACTCCTAGCAGGCAGCCACCAACCGAGCCACTTCCCATCTCTGGGCCTCGGTTTCATTCTCTGTGAAATGGGGTGAAGGGGTTGCACTGCTCAGGTCCTTGGCACCCTGGGACTGTATTTTCCTCTCTTTCCTTCTCCTGAGCCCCTCTGACTCCCCATCTCAACACGGAGTCTGAGCAAGATTGCCTCAGAAACAGACATAGCGCCTGCTGGGTACACTTACTGTGGGTCCCTGCTCTCAGGGGTGCACAGCAAAGTCTGGGAAGTACCATGATGGGGTGGCCTGGAGGGCAAGAGGGAGGCCAGGGTCCAAGTGGGCTGCCTGCAGCAAGACACAGCCTCTCCTGTAAATAGTAAACATTCTGAGCCTATGGGGAAGCCCATGAGCAACTGTCACCCAGAACTAACTAGTGCTTGCATTTGCTGGTTGGTTTTGGGTCTTTTAAAATTAGGGATAAAGATAACAGGGACAGTTGGAGACTCCTTTGTCTCCTTTATATCTCTCCCCCAGGGCTCCAGAAGCTCTGCCTTGGTGAATTGAGGGAAGAGGTCTAAACGTCTGCTGTGTGTGTGTGTGTGTGTGTGTATACATATATATATATATGCATATATATGTGTATATATGTATATGTGTGCATATATATACATATATATGTGTACACAGACACACATACACTGGAGAACTTTAAGTGCTGCCAAGTGGGTTTAGAATAGTTTCATAAATGACAACCACAGCCAGTGTTATTGGGCATCTCATGTTTTTCCCTTGGGATTGGTTTGAGATGGCAAATAGCCCAGCAGTTGAGAGAGTCACTGTGTGTCTGTCTCACTTCTCAGTGTGGCCATGGGCATTCTTGTTGCGGGGGTCATGGATAAGAGGTTCTAGAGGAAGGACCCCTCCCCTCCCCAGCTAAGTCCTGGAGGCGCAGCAGAGCCCGTGGACACAGAGGAGCCTATGGGGAAGGACTTGAGAAGAGGAGGCATCTGGGGAAGGAATAGGAAGGTGGGGGAAGGCCAAGGTAGAATTTATGAGTTGGAGGTCACTGGTTGCTGGGTGGGAGAAAATCTGTAAGAGGCAGAAGCTGGTAGGAGGCTGGTGAGGAAGGTGGCAAGAAATAGCTGAAAGCCTTGCCTTGAGGTGACAAAGGGAAGGTAGGAAATATGTGGGTTGGAGAGTACCTTTGGGGGCATCAGTGGGACATGGCTGGTAGATTTGATCAAATGGGGGGGGTGACATAAGTTCATGAGTAGGGGGCATCTCCCTGCCCCCAGCAGCATGTGCATCCAGGGGCTTTAAGGGGAGGAGGGCGCTAGGCAGGGAACATTCCTTACCATAATTCCTGATAATTATGGTAATTCTTGATGATTACGGTGGTCGTGCTGCATTTTAGTTCATGAGTCTCTCACATCCCATTAGGTCACCACTTACCTGCACAGCCCATGTGCTCTTCTCCCTGTGAACACTCCAGGGCCAGGCACTGTTCCTTCTGGAGGGAGGGCCTCCCTGAACTGCCTCATGCTCCCTGCCACCCATGTGCCTTCTTGCAGAAGGAGCCCTTCCCATGGGTGGGCTCTTTGTTCTGCAGGTCATTTGTTACACTTAGATTTGGATCTAGAGCCCTGCCCTTCCCTGTAACGAGCTTAGAACCTGGACCCTCAGGCTGAAGTCCTTCCTGGAGGACCCGAATCAACCTGGCTGAATGTCCCCGTTTCAGAACTTTTCACTGAAAACAAGAAAAACAGTCCAGAATTCCTCCCTGAAACTCAATCCTGGTAAAAATTAAAGTGCCAACTTATAAGAGAAGTCAGCAAAACTGAGAATACTCTCTGGCTTCTCTTTGTTCTTGGGATAAAACCTCAAATCCTTAACACTGAACTAGTAAGCACCGACCTTTGCCAATGCTTAGTGACCACCTCATTTAGTTCTCTGAACATCTCAGGAGCAGGTCTGGCATCTGGGGCCCAGGTTACTCTTGTGAGCTCAGCAGGGAGG